AAAACGGCCGAAGGCATTCTGATTGCAGACAAACGTCGACCAGACGTTGCAAGCGCCATTCGGTTCATACTTTAGCATAGCTGGATTCGAGGGAATTGTCGCGCGATGCTGAGAGGCGAGTGAATATTTTATATCAGATTTTACCTGCACACAGTGCTGTAGCCTGCCCGGCTTCGAGTCGAAACGTATAAAAAGCCGAAGGAAATTTTCCACTTGCCCAAGTCGAAACGCGACCAACGTTGCCACGCTGCATTCAGCTCCCATTACATTAGCATAGCTGGGATTCGGCGAATCGCGCGCGATGCTGAGAGCGAAGTGAATATTTGGTATACATGATGTTACCCATGCACACCTGTGTCAAGTGCCCGCGCTGTCAGTGCGAAACGTATAAAGACGGGCCGAAGGAAATCGTCTATTGCCAGTCAACGTCGGACCCAACGTTGCCAGCGCCATTCGCCCATACCATGTAGCCCATAGCTGATTCCGCGAATCGCGTCCGGTCTGCGCGATGCTGAGAGCGAGGGTGAATTTGATATATCAGATTTTACATGACACAGCTGCTGTCAGCGCTGCCCGCGGCTTTCAGTCGAAAGGTATAAAACGCCGAAGGAATTCTATTGCCAGTCAACGCGACCAAAGGGGCGGGGACGGGAGCGTTGCTGCGCGCCATTCGCCATAATAGTGCATAGCTGCGGGTGGGATCAGCCCGTCGCGCGGGCAGCAGGAATCTCAATACATCCAGGATGAATCAATCGGGGGTATGTCGACAGCCAGCAGGAATCCAATACATTCCAGCGATGAATCCATCCGGGGTTATGGTACGACAGCAGCAGGAATCCAATACATTCCGGGCATGAATCAATCAGGGTCGATGGTCGACAGCGCAGACAGGAATCCAATACATTCCGCCGGATGAATCCTCAATCATGGGTCATGTCCTGACACAGCAGCAGGAATCCAATCCATTCCGGTGATGAATTCCAATCTCAGGGGCGGTTAATGGCACGACGCGTTAGGCGGAATCCAATAACATTTCCAGGGATGATTCCATTAAGCAGGGTCTATATATTACCGGTCATGACGCAGAGGAAGCCAATACAATTTCCTCGTGGATGAATATCCAATCCGGGGTCATGGTCGACAGCAGCAGGAATCCATAATACATTCGGATGAAATCCATGACCATCACAGGCGTTGGGTCGCTGTGCAGCCTGCGCATGCCTGTCGCGCCGGGTCTAGCAAGGGAATCCAAATACACTCCAGGATGAATCCATATCCTGAAGGATTCGTGGTCGACAGCTCATCAGAGAATCACAAACCCATTCCAGATGAATCAATCACGCCGGGTTATTTGTCGACAGCAGCAGGAATCCCATAATTTCGCCAGGATGAAATCCATATCAGCGTTCATGGCTGACAGCAGCAGCGAATCCAATACATTCCGGGAATAAATCCAAATACAGGGTTATTTGGTCGACAGCAGCAGAAAATCCAAATCCATTCCGCGATGAATCCAATCAGCGGGTCATGGTCGACGGCAGCCAGGATCCAATACATTCCCGGGATAAATCCAATCGGTTATGGTCCACCGAGCGCGAGGAGGAATCCAATCCATTCCGGAATATGACCATTCTATGTGCGCGAGGTTCGATGGTCGACGGCAGCAGGAATCTACAATACACGTCCCGGTATTGGGAATCCACACATCAAAGACGTGGTGCATTTGTCGACAGCAGCGAGGGAATCAATACATTCCGGGATGACTCCCAATCGGGGTCAATTGGGTCGGAATCTATATGGCCGAGCAGGCAATCCAATCACTCATCTCCGGGTATGAATTCCACACATCGGGGTACTATGGTCGACTGGGCAGCAAGGAGCTCAAATACATTCCAGGCGATTGGAAGGCAATCAGACGTCTCCTTGGTCGACAGCAGCAGGAATTCCCATAACATTCCGGGATAAATCGCGAAGTCAGGGGTTAAGGTTCTCGACCGCCCGGAATGGATTGGATTCCTGCTGCTGTCGACCATAACCCCGATTGGATTCATCCCGGAATGGATTGGATTCCTGCTGCTGTCGACCATAACCCCGATTGGATTCATCCCGGAATGTATTGGATTCCTGCTGCTGTCGACCATGACCCCGATTGGATTCATCCCGGAATGTATTGGATTCCTGCTGCTGTCGACCATAACCCCGATTGGATTCATCCTGGAATGGGTTGGATTCCTGCTGCTGTCGACCATACCCCCGATTGAATTCATCCTGAAATGTATTGGATTCCGGCTGTTGTCGACCATAACCCCGATTGGAATTAGGCTGGAATATTTTGGATTTTGGCTCCTGTCTACCAAAACCGAATCCCGTCCATGGTTGGTACATATCAGATTTTAACTGTTCGTCTTCAAGAGACAGCCTATACGATGCAGTCTCGTCGTTTCCCCGATCAGTAATGGTTACAGGTCTCTCGGCTTTCTGCACTCGACGGTGACGACGCATCCGTTTCAACATCCGCATGAATTTCGAGCCCTCGTCGTCAGCTAGCGCAGTCTCGCGCTGCGGGTGCGCCAGCGTAACGTGCTCTCCCGTACGCGCACCTCGACTCTCAGCCCCGCCATGCCTGTCGTCCTTGCTGTCCGATTTATCTAGTTCGGCTGCTACGTAAGCAGCGAGGTTGCTAAGGTCGACCATCTGCGGAGATTCTGATGTCGATGGTACCGCAGCCGGTGGCGCCAGCAGCAGCATCGTGCGTTGTGCGGCGCCATCTTGCACTTGTTTGTAAGCCGTTGGCTGTACCTGCGCTCGGCTGTTCTTTGGAGGTGCCTCCTGCTGCACTACGTATTTGCCATAAGACGGTGACGCGGGCTGAAATACACTCTGAATTGGCACTGCTACCCTCTGATCGCCTTGTTGTAAAACTTGGTATCGCTGTACTTGCCGTTGTTGTTGTTGTTGCTGCTGCTGCTGCTGCTGCTGCTGCTGCTGCTGCGGAAAACCTTGAACATATATCTGACTGTCTGCTGTTTGACCGCCGTCTGCCCGACGTCCACTAAGTTGTGAAACCGGAGGCGACGCTCCCCTGTACCCCTGCAGCAATAGAGTCGGACCTCGCGCCTGTGGGTTCAGCCGCACATGTAGCCGACCGTCCTGCACAATGTCCTCAAGCGGAACAGCGTACTTGTCTAAGACGTCGGATGAGGCAGACGCCGGAGGGGTCTGTGCCTCACTGCCTCGACCTGACCAGACTAGAGACCTTCCAAAGCTGGTCGACGGAACGCGATGCTGTCGGAAGTTGTGCACCGGACTCGGCGGCGGAACGAATTGCGGCACGTAGTGGAAGTAGCTGTGCGTGGGCGGCGTGGTCGTAGGCTGGGCCTCGGAATCGTAGGGGGACTGCCACCTGGCTGGCGAAGTGTCCCCGCGTGCAGACTCTCCGTAGTTGCTATCCATCGTGCCTTCATTCGACTGCGTTAAAAACGACGGGATGTCGTGGAAGTAGCTATGAGTGCGTGGCGTAGTCGCTGGCTGCGTCCAGGAGCGATAGCCGCGCTGCCCGCCATCTCCTGCTGCGTCCGCGATTGCAGAGTTGATGTCGAATATCACGCGAGATACATGCATCGGTGAAGCGACCGCAGGCTGCTGACCGATCGGTGGGTAGGCGTCAGGTGCGGCAATTGGAACCGTGGATGGCATCGTTGTCGGTGTCGCCGTCGTCGTCACCGTCGTCGTCCACGGGTTGTAAGTTGGTCCAAACGGGATCGGCGTTGTCCTTGGAGCGGGGGTACGAGCGTAGGGGTCGTAGACGCCGCGCGGTGTCATCGGGGGCCTGGGTGCTTCTCCCTCCCTCATTGCCTTCTCATCGACGTTGCTGATCTGGAACTTGTAGCTGCGAGGCAGCGCCTCACGCACGGGAGATATCACGCTCGTGTCCATCTTCATCAGCTTCGGCTCTCGCATCGTCGCTGCGACGCCAAGCACTTTCGTGTGCGGCAGTGCGCCGCTCCTTCTCACAGCGTTCGAGCGCGGCAGCAGAGAGGTGTCGAACCGCTTCCCGCCGATTTCGTACGTGATACCTGGTGCGATGAAGTCCTGCCCGATCTGTGGGATAGGATGCGGCTGCGTCTGTCTGCTATTGCGGTTGTCCTCTCTACGGGTCGACCTTCTGGTGGACCGGTCTTTCCGGAACGGACTCCTGCGAGCGGGGACGCTTGTGAAACCCGTGTAAGGATCGTAGTTCTGCGGCTTGTTATTGTTTCTCTGTGGGGAGGGATTATTCAGCTGGCTTCCATAGTCCCCGTATGGCTGAAGATGAGAATCGCTGCCAAAATTCGAACCGTCGTTTACGGGGACGTTACCGGGTCGAACTCCCTGCGTGAAAGGTGGTTCGTCATACGGCCGCCAGGAGCGTCCAGCTGGACGAAAATTATTCCAAAATCTAGGTCCTTCCCCCATAGATATCACTTCTTGATAAGTTGCTGCTAGCGTTAGCTGAAAACAAAAACGCATATTATTAGCGCATGTTAACTTCTAGAATGAGCTATTTTTTCGATCGTTTTTTTCTTTAGTTGAGATAAACGAGAATATTTTGGCATTCATTATCGACATAGTCATCAGTTGTTCACATCGCCTAGCATCAGTTATATAAAAAGAGTTCGTATATATAAAAATAAAAATAAATAGTTCGTATATATAAAAATAAAACAAGAAGGTGGAAAGCTGCTCCTGTCACCGGTTATATCCGACCTATTCATGCTCAAACGCCAACATCTATATAGATCTCGCGATAATTCAGCTTACCAGAAGTAGCATATAGATAGCGCCCATGTTTTGTGGTTTCCTGAAAAGATCCATATCAGAGATTAGACAAGGTGCCGAGAACGGCAAAGGTGCATCGTCACAATTTAGTGACCTTGGTGCACACCGACAGCTAATAACAGCGAGCACTAGGTTCCCTCACAGTCACGCACCCACACAGCCACACACCCACACACCCACGCACCCACACACACCCACACATGCACGCACACACACACACACACACACACATGCACGCACGTACGCGCGCACCTACATACGCACGCACACACGCACGCACTTTGCTCATTTCAATCTTGCACACGTATCGATATTACGCATAATTTAGGTGAAAAATCACACAACGATTAAGAAGAAAATGGGTTTTTCCATGAGTTATATTATGATCAGCTAGCTACGGAATACAAGAATCCAGTACTGTAACATATATACTAATATAAAATTTTAATATATATATATTATATATATATATTATATATATAGTATACTATAAGCTATTTACAACCGTGGTGGTCGGTGCAGTTAACTAACAGGTTTGCTTCTATTTATTCCTAATACCCTTGTATCCAGAAAGACATGATACAAATTGCGTGGACACAGCCTTTGCTTGTTGATCTAAAGGGCGCTGCGCGTGGTCATATGTATGTATATATGTATATATGATATATGATATCGTTTTTCGTGCTCGCGTATGACGGATTATCCATGCTTATCAAATTCTAAATATTAGCCTGGATCTTAATGCATAAGCTTTTGGATTGATAACTGCAATAATCTCCGAATTTCTATCTATATATACTATTATATATATATAAGCCTACTACTACTTTACACTATTACTTCTACTACTACTATACTACTACTAACTATACTACTTACTACTACTACTACCAGTGTTCATTGCTGGTCTCCCCGGTCTGCGTTCTCGCTCGGAGTGGCAATGACTCGGACTCGGCTCGGACTCGAGCCTCCCGGACTCGAAGGACTCGGGTCGAGCGAGCCGCTCGAGGCCTCTAAATACAAGTGTCAAGATGCTGTTTTGGTCGCCGTTTAAAATCGCGCGTGGGCGAGTTCACGCGCATCATTCGTATTCAACCACCGGGCCAATAATGTACCACAGGCGCCGCGGCTTAATCAATCGTCGTACTGACGGCTTGGACAGCAATATGCTGCGGTCCCAAAAGTGTCGACTTATGCAAGTTTTATGTACTTTCTATTTTATGAACAAGTGACAGATCCAGGAGACGGAAACACCCCCCCCTTTTTGAACAAACACATACATAGAAGTGAGTGGCCTGTGTGCGGTCTTTGCCCCCCTTTTTTTTATCAGAAACTGGACTCGACTCGGGACTCGGACTCGGACTCGGGTGGTTGGACTACGGACTCGGGTGGCGCGGACTCGGACTTCGGACTCGACTCGGGACTCGCTGACTCGCGGGCGGTGCGGACTCGGGACTCGAGACTCGGATCGGTGGGACGGACTCGTCGGCACTCTGTAGACGGACTGACTACAACATATATCTACTATACCTATACTACTACTTACTACTACATACTAACTACTTACCTTACTACTACTACTACTACTACTATTCCTACTACTATACTTACTACTTACTACTACTACTCTACTACTATAATAATAATATAATAATAATAATAATAATATTAGATAGTAATCATTAATAGCGATACATTATTATTAACAATAAAATTAACAATAATAATAATAAAACATGAAGGCTTTGTTTTTAATCAGTATCTCCGCGCTTCGCTATCACTCTTCCTCTACATCTCACTCATTGTCTTCTTCTTATTATCCTCTCTGTCTTACTTTCGATTTTGCCTCTACGTTCCCTTCCTCTGGCGAAGGGGAAAGCATCTCGCAGGAATGAGAAGTGGCACGAAAGAAGAGTCTCTGAGATAGAGCGTAACAGAGACAATGGGAGACGAGCAAGAATGCGCAGGGGGAGCGAGCAAGTAGTGTTAGAGGGCGCGAAGGAGAGGAAGAGGGACAGGGTGAGCTGAGTGAGGGTGGATGAGAAAAGACAGGCACTTTAGCATTTTAGAAAAGAGGCAGCGATAGCATTTCTTATCTATATCTTATTACTTATTATTATTATTATTATTATGTATTATATTTTATTATGTATGATGATTATTATTATATAAGGCCTAGACGCGTGACCCAAAGTTCGTCTACGATGGGTACCGATAGCAAGCCTGCATGCGGTGCACCTAATATACAAGCCCGCCGCTATCTCGGTATAATGCCCACTGATCTGGGGGTTCTCATCATTATTAGGCTTGTCATACAATCTCACTTACAATAATCATTCTGATTACAGATCATCTATATTTCTGTAGTTATGCAAAACTGGATGACGATTGGTGATCGACGATCGATGACTACTTGTAAATTATACTCAAATTAGTTGAGTATGTATCAACATAATACGATATATATACATTACACGATATACAGTACACTATACAACGATGTTGGCATTAAACTTTGCGCCAGCTGGCGTAAAAGAAGTAAACCGTGACCTAGACATTCATGATCATAATCTTGATCAGGAAACGCGATTTTCATCACCTCGCCGAATATTTACGTCGCGATGCACATCAAGAAGGAATGCCCATGACTGTGCAAAACAAGTAGATGGGGAAATAGTATGTGTCGTCGTTCAATATAACGTGCTCTCACTAGTCTTCGTATATCGCGTGTCGTTGTCAATGTTTATTCCTGTCATAGCATGGCCATCTCAGCGTCATGTCCCTTACATGTTAGAAGTATGCTAACCAACATTTTTAGTGGCAATCTCTATGACCTCCGTGATCTATATATTAGCAGTGTGTCGACGAACATTCTTAATAGTCCGATCTTTCGGGGAACTACCTAACGTGAATTTATACTACATAAGATAAATAGTAATAAACATGTATATATGCGTATCAATGTGTATAGTGCGTTACTATAGAAGTACACTTAGCTCGTGCCTAGTTCTATTTTAAGGTAATATCGTAAGGTAATCACATATTTTAATAAGGTGTGGACTACTACCAACCAGTGAACGATGTTTTGGTGAGGCCAAAGCAGCGACGAAGGCATGACCGGCGGCAGAGACAGAGACGACGACAGGGACAGAGGGGGTAGAGACAGAGACATAGACAGAGACAGAGATAGAGACAGTTACAGGCGGAGACTGAGACAGAGGCAGATGAAGGGTATAGAAAGAATGAAAGATGGGGTCGTAGAGTGAGTATAGGAAAGGGTGCGGGAGAGAAAGGAGAGGTATAGGTCTCCTACCCTCCCTCTCTGCTCTCTCTTGCTTACTCGCCGTCCCCTTTCTCCCATTCCTTATCTCTGTATCATTTTTTTTCATTCTCGCGTTGTCTCCGCACGTTTCCGCACTCTTTTTCTTATTATTCTATCGCACGTTTTCCTGACCGAGCTTCTGCAATAGATTCATTTTGTCCCGCATCAGTGACTCTTTGACGCATGCTGTGCTATAGTTGCGTATCTAAGCACGAGGAAATATGACTGGAGTCAAAGCAGTGCAAACGGTGCCACTACACATGCTCCACACACACATTATTGAAATCCCCAAAAATATGGCATGGCAGGAACTCTATTCTAGCAAAGCAAATCATGGCATTCGTGACGTCTAATAAGACATCACTGGCTTCACTCTGATTTCGAATGTGTTTTACATTAGTAAAGAATACCGCCATGTGATATTCGCGTAAGTCTAAATTCGGTCCACTACGGAGAGTGTATATACGCGCTGTGTTCGTTAGTTCAGACAGAGGTATTTATTGAACTAAGAACTAATAGTATTAATTCCTTATATGATATTCCCATTCAACATCGGAATCCTAAAGCGGCATCAACTCCTAACGCCTTCAAACAACGTAAAAGCCCAAATTGTTGAGATACATGGTGTCATACACGCACCAGATGTCTGTTACGTGACAACTCAAGTCGAACGGATCAAATTCGCGCATTACCTTACATTTCAGCTGCGATTTTTAAACAATATTGTTTCAATCGGATAACCGTAGAACAAAATGTAGGCCTAAGTACGTCTTGGCGCCAGAAAACACTCGGCAAACCGGTTCATAATCACACAATCCGCGTTTCTGCATCTACTGCTTACTACAGCTAGTTTCTGCGTTTAGTTTCTGCGTTTAGTTTCTGCGTTACTACAGCTATTATAGCTATTATCTGGTCGCTGCCGCCGATCAGAAGCAGAAACTTCGTTTGAACGGGTTCCGTATGCCACAACGAATTATTTTAGATCTCACTTGGAATTTTCTGTCGATGTTTTCAATGCGATAAAGTACAACACGGAACTGATTGAAAGCATATCTGAACTAGAATATATCATATTAGATAACTATAATCTCAAAAATATCATTTTCGTAGAGTTGGATCAGCTTTAAGAATCGTCTTTGCTACAGCGCCGGTATGTATAGATCGCAGTGTCATCGAGATT